GTTTCTTAAGAAAAATCTGTTATTTTCAGTAATGAATCTCTGTATGGGTTCGGTAGATTTTACCAATCTCATAACCATCATAAAAAATTAAGAAATGAATATAAATTATGCCTCTTTCATTTTAGAATTAACAAAAATTATAACACGAAAACATAAATATATAGAAGTACTTGTATATAAGGAAACATTTCCAAAAATGGAAAGGGGTGGGTGGGGTGCCATTATGTTTGATTTATTATATGAGTAAGATTTTAGCAAATTGAAAAGATAAAAAATTATTCACATGTCATAGACAGAAGTAAGTGTATATAAGGAAGAGTTTCCAAAAATGGAGAGAGAGATGAGTAGGGCCACTGTGTTAGATTCAGTACACTGGCAATATCTCAGTAAATAGAAAAGATAGAAGGTTCTTATTTTATATTCTAGCTTGTCAATATTGGTAATTTGAGTTCCTAATTCGTACGAAACTATTTTTTTCTTTATCTTACCTAATCTAATCTTATTTAATCTAGTAAGTTTCTAATTTTAACATTTTAGCTACTTTTATGATAATAAATAAAAATACGCATGAAAAACAAGAAATAAAGAACTTACCTTGGTCTTTTATGTAGTCTTTTTATGTAGTTTGTCAATGAAATATAAGCCTACTTTTTGTATTAATGGCACTACTACACTAAATATTTTTTAATTTAATCAAATAATGCATCTAAGAATGCAATAATAACACATAAAAAGCAAACAATGTCGTATAACTATTATAATTTTTCTTGCTTTATAGCTGCTGAATAACAGCCTTTAAAAATTCCACTAAGCTTCTTGGATGTGATTCCTGTGAGAATAAATTTGAAACTGAAAAAGGAAATAATGATTGACATGTTCAGAAAACCACATGATATAATACATTTAAACTTTGGCTTTCTATTGATTATAAATAATATAGTGTAAAATGTCAGAGAGAACTACTGGCAATTTGTGATAGGTGGGTGTGGCAAATAGGTCTGATTTTGTACTTCATGGCTCCATAAATAAATAAGATTGAAGGCTATAAAAATTATGATTTGCCAGAGTATTATCTAGTATGATAAGTACCTTGAATTAAATTCCATGCTTCTTGGAGGGGTGGTAAATATATTATAGAAGAGGGAAGATCGAGAGACCAAATATCACAATTCTCATATTTGTGGTAGATTAAGGATTTTAGAATATTTACTTATAAAATTAAGAACCTAAAACTTATATTAAATTTTGATTTATTAACTACACTTTGATGCTATGTTTATTTATATACAATGATAATATTATATGATATGAGCATTTTAAGTTCTTGATTTTATAAGTTGAAATTTTAAAAATCCTGAATTTCCCCTAGTGTGAGAAATGACATTTTTTCTCTAGACATCCCCTCTTCTCTAATTTGTTCACCACCCTCCAATAAGTACAAAATTTAATGTAAATTACAAACCGTAATTTTTTTAGCCTTCAAATTTGTTTGGTTACAGAGCCATCAAATGGAAAATCAGACCCCACTTGCCACACCCACCTGTCAAATCCTCTTTTTCAGGATTTGTTAATAGTTCTTTTATGTTTAATACTATAATATTTATAACTAACAGAAAGCCAAGGTTTTCATCTATCAAATGACGTATTATATTACATTGTTTTTCTTAACAGAGAATTGTCATTTTCTCTGTTAGTACAAGCTTCATTCCCAGGGGAAATATAGACTAGCTTGGATGAATTTGTAACAGCTCTTGTCACATAGTTAGAAAGCCAGAAAAACTGTGATAGTTTGGGATATTGTCTGCTTCTTGCATGTTATTATTCTATGTTCTTTGGTGCATTATTTAACTCTCTCATTATTATTACTATTTACAAATAAGTTCTTAAACTTACTTTTCTTAAAACATGGAACAGTAAACAAAATATATTAATATCTCAGAGAATAGGAAAGATAGGAGGTTCTTATCTTATATTCTAGCTTATCAACATTGGTAACTTAAGTATCTAATTTGTAAGAAACCATAGACTTGGACATCACAAACACATAATTTGAACCAATGCTACATTCATCATACCACGTGACACACAAGTATCGATATTTAGGTTTTTTTTTTAAGTATCTACTTTTGTATTATGAAATTAACTAATGTATAATTCTAAAATTTTAATTATAATCTACAGTTTGATACCAAACTTGTTGACATACATTCATAAAATAGTAGTTCAATAATATTTTGAATGTGAGTCTACAAATGCAATGACATAGCCTTTGACCCTTGACCATAGGAAGACCCGTGTTGTTAGAGTTAATTGGATAAAAATTATTTAGTGTTAAGTGTCATCAACAGTCTACAAAAAAAAATAAAAGTAGGTACAGGTAAGTACTTTATTTCTTGTTAAGTACTTTATTTGTTGTTTTTGTATGTATTCCTTATTTATTATTGTAAAAGTAACTAAAACTTAAAAATAGGAATCTCTTTAGGTTAGTTATGGTTAGGTTAGGTAAAATAAATAATAATATAATAAAAATATTTCATGAGGCATGCATGTGAGCAGCTCAAAGTAGCTCATGAGTAATATAATTTAATAGCATAATGTGAACCCCATGTACTCCAAGTGATTTACAACTTATAATGGCACAAATAGTAGTTAGACATGGTTCAAAGTGCAGTAAAAACAATACAATTTAAGGATAAATAGTTGTATACTGTTACAAGTTTAAATCTACTTGGGATAAACAAGTGTAGTTTCATGTTGCAATTTGAAGTCATTCCAGAAAGGAAAAGTGGTAATTTGGGTGTTGTTGTTTTGTTTTTGTGTGTGTGTAGTTTGACCAACCTTATATAGAGTTAGGGTAAAGGTTTTAGAGATTACTTTATAGAAATTTGAGATTTTTAGGACAAAGAATAGTATTTTTACTCATAACTTGAAAATCACTTTGCACTCGGACTAGTAATGAAACTGATTGGATATATTCACAAACAAATCTTTAGTAAAAATACTTCATTACAAAATCTGATTTTTTGTGCACAAAAGACTTGTAATGTTTCCCAAAAGTCTACCAAATTGTGTGAAGATACACACTTACAGTATTAAAAGTTATAGTATAAATATTTAATGAGAGCAAATGTGTATCCAGACTTGGTATTTTACATAGAGCCCATTGCGAAAGAGTTAAAGAATACTGTTACTACAACTGGCTGGCAGCAAAGTTAGAGATATACTTGTAATAAGAAAAATAATTAATGTTCTTGAGCTGAGTTATTTTGTATGTTCATTGCCTATATTGTATAAAATTTACATCATGTTCTTACTTCTGTTACAGCAAGTTATGGTGCCTAAACAAGCTGTTGGAGTTGTAATTGGGAAGAGTGGAGAAACTATAAAGAGAATCCAACAGGACTCTGGAGGAGCAAAGATACAATTTCACTTGGCAAAGGAAGATACTCCAGGAGAGAAGTTGTGTATGGTCACTGGAAACCCTGAGCAGGTTCAGAAGGCTGTGGAAATCATTCATGAATTGATACATAGTGTGATGGTTTGTACTAATTACTGTATGTTATTTTAATTAGATTGTATTTTAGAAAATATGAATTCAATTTGTTTGATAGTTAATTATACATTCAGGTTAAATCTAACATGCCATATTTAGCTGCTTAAATTTTAATAATGGACAGTTGAAAACATCAACTATGGAATGATGTAACAGTATTTCATTAATAAGAAAGACTGTGTGTGATGGGAGGCTGAGAATCAACAGGCAAGTGGTAGGCACAACTAATCAGGTAGTGGAGTGATTGGCAGCGAGAAGAAACATTGTTTCATTATTTATGTTAGCCAGACTTTCATCATGTTTGTTATCATTTTATGATCTTTATAAAAAGAGAAGTTGACCATGATGCCACTTTGAGCTTCAGCAGAAGTTTTAGTGGAAGATATTTAATGTTAGCCATTTCTGTTATTTAAAAGAGGCGGCATACTACCTAAACAATAAAAAATAATAAGAATTTAAAACAAATAAATGAAAAACTGAGTCAATACTTATAAAAGCTGTAACTAAGGTTGAATTTAGGTCTGAGAGAAATTGATATGCTTCACAGTTGTATTTATGGTCCATTGTAATTAATAAGACAGTTATAGTTTAAATAAGTATTGAGCCCAAGAAAGAGTACCTAATCACTCATTTTACAATAAGCATAAAGTATTTTAGCTTTCATAAAGTGAGTTTAATCCTACTATCCATATCTTAACTTTTGTTCTATAGCTATAACATCATTTTGACTTCTCCTCAAACATTAAAAATGCTAAAGTGGCAAATTCACTGTTAACTATCGCCACAGGTATCCTCTACTGTGTATGACACAAGGTTTTTGCGAGTTACATTCAAAATTTTATTAAACTACTTTTTGTTTATGTTATACCAATTAGAATAGCATAAAATGTTAGCTAATAATCCATATTTTAATAGTATACAAGTTTTAATTTCTTAATTATACAAGGCAATATTTAAAAAAAAATTAGAATTTCCCCTAGTGTGACCCACGTGACACATTTTCACTTAGCATGTCATCATCCCTATTTTATCCACCACCCCTCAAAAAAGTATGAAATTAAACATAAATTACTCTATAAATTCTTTATTGCTCAGACAAACCATAATTATTATAGTTTTCAATTTTGATTGGTTACAAAACTATCGAATAGAAAATCAGATCCCTCCAACCACACCCACATGTCACATCCTCTTTTTCAGAATTTGTTGATAGTTCACTCTTACGTTTCATTATATATTACCTATAACCAATAGAAAGTCAAAGTTTTCATCTATTAAGTGACATATTGTGTCACTTTATGTTCTGAATTGTTAAATGTCAATTTCACTCTGAGTACCAACATCCTTCCTGCAGGAAAGTTAGTGATTAGCTTGGATGAACTTGTAATGGCTCTCGTCACATAGTTAGAAAGCCAGAAAAGTTTTGAGAGGTAAGTAAATTTGTCTACTTTTATTATGTTATTAGTTTATATTCTTTGGTGCATTATTTAATTAAATAAAAATTATTTAGTGCATTACTATTATTAGTATAAAAAATTAGGGTTAACTCTCATCGAAATCCGATGCAAGAAAAAAGAAGATTGGTTAAGTATCTTATTTCTTGTTTTTCATGTTTATTCTTTATGTATAATTATAAAAGTAACTAAAATGTAAAAATAGGGATCCTTTTAGATTTGTTAAGGTTAGATTAGGTAAAATAAATAATAATATAATAAAAATGTTTCACGAGGCACAAGCGAGTAGCTTGTGGGTAATGTAATTCATTAGCGTAACCTGAGCTGGACGTTCCCCTAGTGATTTACTACTCATAATGGCACGGATAGTAGTTAGACTCGGTTCAAAGAGCAATAAAACAATAAAATTTAATTATAAATAGATGTATACTATTACGAACTTAGAGCTACTTAGGATAAATGAATGTAGCTTCATGTTACAATTTTAAGTCATTCTAGAATAAAAAGAGTAATTTAGGTGTGTGTGTGTGTGTTGTTCTGGTGGTTATGAAGTCCATCAAATTGACCAATTCCATTTTCAGATAAGGTAGAAAAAATAACAGATATACTATATAGTTTTACTATATATATAGAAAAAAAAACGTTTGAAATGCATTTAGGAGGTTTTAGGGATTACAAAAGTGAAATTTGGATGTGGAAAAGTATTTTTAATTTTAACATGAAAATTATATTGCACATGGCTATTCAAAACAAATACTTAATATATTCATGGACAAATTTTTATTTTGTATGTAAAGACTTATAATATTAACTGAAAGACTTCCAAATTTTGTGAAGATATACTCACTATATTGAAAGCTAGAATTATTAAATCTATAAAGACTAAACAAAGAGGTCACGTGGTTGGTCAGATTGACCGAGCCTATATCAAGAGAGTTAATATAGTGTTATTGAACTATACTTGTGTTATTAACTAACCGTACATTGTGTAATTTCTAATTCAGCTATATGCATGTGAAAGGGTTTAAATAACTTAGGCAAGACTGACCTTGAGTAAATAATGGCATGTGGAGTGGAAAAATGTTTTGTATAGCATCTATGAATGTAGAGATGTACAGTACCAAAATCACATTTTAACTTTGTAATAGTGACAGTGTTTATATATTATGTATGTTAATGCTTATTTACATTGTAAAGAATTTATTGTTAAGTTTTATTGCTTGTTATTTTGTATATGTTTTTCTTTTAGTGTCCATTTTAAATTTATTCTTTATATAACATTTCCTGAACTGGGTTTTTTTTTTATAACTTGGATACTCATTGGATATCAGTGTATTTGAATACCACATTTTCATATGATATTATGTATGCACATAAGTTCTCAAATTTTGAATGTGATTTTAAGAAAAATACCATGTTATAATATTTCCATAATTATAAAAGCATGTTTAATAAGTCTTAATGGATGTTTGTGCTTCTCTTGATCATGTACTTGATATATTTGGTTCCTGGGAAGTAAACAGATCTGTCATGAAAAGTCCTAAATTTTTGGCTTTGATAAAGAGTATTCATCTTTTAATATGTATTTAATGTTTTTAAGTTTTCTAGATTGCTCATACTTCTGTAAAAAAATACATCTAAAATCAGTTAACGCTTTTGCTACAGACATCTTTTTCTGCACATATTATGAGATTTTAGTGAATTATATTCAAAATTTAATTAAAGTACTTTATTATCATGTTACATTAATCAACTTAGCATTAAATTATACCTAATAATCTAAAGACAGTGTTAAAAAAAAATGTCAATTTTCCCTAGTAGGAGAATTGTGATATTTGCTTTCTAGATATCACCTTTTCTCTAATTTATATACCACCCCTCCAAAAATAATGCAATTTAATGACAAAGTATAATTTTTGAAGCTTTCAATCATATTTGGTTACAGAGCCATAAACTAGGAAATCAGACCTCTCTTGCCATGCCCACTTGTCATATTCTCTCTTTTGCAATTTGCCAGAATTTCACTCTGACATTCAATATTATATTATTTATAATAGTTAAAACTGACTAGATATATATAATCAACTTTTTAATCAACAATTTAGAAAAAAGAATCAAATTCTAAGATGAAAAGAAGTATTTTGATCATTTTTTTAAAACTGCCTAATAAATTTTTGGAAGTTTTGCAATATAAAAAACAATAATAATCCTAAATTCAGATTATATTAATTTTTTTAAGCTAATCTAGATATTATTCAGTAATGTTTTACTAAATTTCTTGGAATTTGTTTCAGTGTTTACCCTGTAAGAAGTAAAAAATTGATAAACCTATATCCCTCTGGTCCAGAAGGGGGTTTGTTGAAATTGTGGATACTGAATGACTGGAAGCATGTAATGAGGATAATTTAATGACTCGTCTATTGTGTTTTTTCTAAGATACTGGAAGTAGTGTAATAGTGTAGGGATTATTCTCATGGCAAAGTGGATCTTTTGATTTATTTAGAGAAATTCAAACTGAACATCAGTTTACCTCACTATATATAGTGCTGCATTATTATTATTATCAATTATATAAAAAGCTGTCAGTTGGTCACACAGCTTGTACAAAACGACTGTGCTTTTTGCCACAACGAGCAAGTTTGTCTTTTATAATTCTTCCAGCCATGTATATATGTGTGTGTGTGTATGTGTATATATATATATATATATATATATATATAT